ATCACAAAGTTCAGGCTCAAACTTGGAAAAGAAGAGCGAAAGCAAATTAAAAGCAACGAAAAGGGGGAAAAACAAATCCAAAGGTTTTGCCACAGGTCTAATAGTGTCCATTTGAGAAAGAGTCACTAAACTATTCCCGGTAACACTTTATTTTTTTTATTTTTCACTTCAATTATTCAGGCTCGTAGCGAAGCCGCTGGACATCAACGGGAAGCTGACTCGGAGAACTCATCGGGATTGTCAAAAACAGCCTTTGAGGTCAGTTCAAAGCGCATCCGCACAGGCTGAAATCAGCCCCACGAGCTGGACAGAGATGGTGGCCAAAGACGGCGGTTCCAAAGAGGACGCTGGCATCCGGCCCGGTGCCAGGACTGATCCGGCTCACCGGGGGGGTAAAGCCAGGACAGCCAGCGCTACCAAGGAGAGGCAAGGTGATCCCGACCAAAAGGGCAGAGCGGCCAGAGGGAAACACGGCTGATGTTTAGAGACAGGAGGAGGCAGGTGTTTAGTCAGAGGTGGAAGAAAAAAACAAGAGAGAAGTCGCACAAAGTGACCCGTGTGAGGACAAACTTCGGGGGCACAGCTGGCATAGCTAAAGGACCTGTCTAAAGGAAGACATCTTTAAGCTAATATTAACATTTTTAGCATCAAACAGCCGCAAATACTTTAAAGAACACACCAAAGTCGAGAGATTTCTTCTTACTCTGGAATGACGAGTGAGTTTACATTATTTTTTCTTTCACCCTGCTTAGGATTTCTGAGCCAATCCTGAGGCTATAAGCTTTCTCTAACAATTCAAAAACATGCATGTTGGGTTAACTGGTGATTCTAAATGGCCTGTAACAGTGTAAGAGTGTATGTGGTTGTTTGTTATGTCCTTCAGAAAGAGGAGCAGATCCAGCAGAGAGCTGAACAGGAGCTGGAGAGCTGCTCCTGGAGAAAGGAGCTCATAGATGGAGGAGAAAGCAGCCCATTACCATATATTTACACCTATGTTCCCCGTTTCCTGGAGATATGCAAACAAACATGAGGTGTCTCCTAACTTTGGTCCTCTGCTGAGCTCCAGGTCCTCTGTCTGAAAGTGGGTGAGCTGGAGACTGCGCAGTGCTAGTCATTTCTTTGTTTTTCTTCCTTTATTCTGCTCTAAACTCGTGTTTGGAATATTTAAACAGCAGAGCTGGGATTTAAAAAGGATGCGGCCATAAATGGATTCTCCTCTCTGGAGCTCCAAATCTAATCAGGGCTGCTGTCTGTCTGTTTGCTGCTGTTAAAGACGCCCAGCCCCTTAAAGACGCCCCCAAAAAGTCTGCCGAGAACAAACTGGAGCTCATCGGAACTCCGACGAGATGAGCGTAAAGGTCGGAGAAGAACAGGAGCTCATTTAGAGGCAAATCCCCTAACTTGGTGGCATTTCAGCCCAAAAAATCCCAACCTGCTGATTTCCAGCCGAGAGGCTCCGATTTATTTCCAGCCAAAAACTGAGCATCCCTCATCAGCCAATCATCATTATGGAAGCTCCAAACCTTTTAGTTGGGTCATTTTTTAAAACTTTTCAAACAAAGAAACACTCCGATGAGAAGACTCCGATGAAAGACGTTCCTGCTGGGATTTTCCACAGATTGCCAGCAAGGGGCAGTAATCTGCAAAACGAAAAAAAAGATAAACGCCCGGCCAAATTCCGGCTCTTCTTGGGTTCAAACTCGTCCTCTTCGGCTTTCAGAAGGAAAGGCCGGGCGCTCCCTGTGTTAACACTTTGTTTTGGTCAGTTTCTTTAAGGTCTTCTGCCCCTTTCTGCCAGTTTCCACCTCCTCCAGTGAGTTTGAAATCACTCAGTTTGAACGCGTACGTCTGAAGGCCAGAGGAGACCAAAGGCTAAGTGGGAAGCTTTACGCCGAATTCAGTGGTTCACCTTCGTCGTCTTAAAGTTTAAGCTCTGTGAGACGCAGCTGGTGGACTTTTTGGTGATATTTAAGAGGCGCTCGACCACTAAAAGGGGGGTGGGGGGATCTAAAGTAGTTACTACTAGTAGTACTAGTAGATATTTGCAAAAAAATGCGTATCGTCCGGCAGGAGAAAATGCAGATCCAGACTCCAGATACATTTTTTATTTTTAAGTCCGATCCCACACGAGCATTAGCATTAGCATTAGTATCTGTAGCCCACAGGTCTGTGTGCTGACCATTAAGACGGTCATGTAAATTTGAAGCTATCTGTAAAATGTCAGTTGTGTGGGATTATTTTATCTTTAAAGTCGAAAGAGAGGGAGAGCTGGATGTAAAACAGAGTTAATAGACTATTTTCTGTTCAGGTTGTTTGTGTGTTTTGCTTTTTTAAGACAGTTTACAATATTATTTGCACTTTTTACTGTTCACTGATGCCATTTCCGTTTATTTACAATTTGGTCTATTTTGTGTTTCTCCCTGAATAACCAGGTCAGTGTCTCTTCACCAACCAGTGTGTGTTATTCAGACTCCCATAATTCAGCTGGCTAGTTGTTATCAGAGTAAATCCCTGTTCAACTAAGTAAGTAGATAAATAACTTCAGACTTTAGTCCCTGCTCTGATAGGCCGGGATCGGTATTGGAGGGGGACATCCCTGATCTGAAGCGTGGATCTGGTGGTCATTTGGAGCTCATAAGCTCCTTCAGGAGGACTCTGGGCGCCGCTGGCCGGCGGGAAACACTGACGGATCCTAATTGATTTCCATCTGGACACGCTTTGTCATTTCGGGGACCGGGAGGGAGTTTAATTCGGCGCGTTCGGGCGGGCGGGCCAAGATCTTCCTCCGACTCCCGTCCCTCCTCCCATTTCCGATGTCATGGAGGGCTGAGCTCTCGCTCGGGGGCCGACGCGTTTCCCTGTTCGGAAGCAAACCATCCCGGCCGGAACGTCACGGCAGATTCCCGGACCGCCGTTTACACATTAGCGGCTGACTGACGGAGGCTTTGGCGGCGCTAATCTACACATAAGTAACGTCTGTGGAAGGAACGAAGCGAAAAAAGAACGTAACCCCTCCTCGGTTATGAGCCGGACTCTCTAGGAGAGCTCTACGGAGTGGGGGAATGGTTGAAAGGGGAGAAAAATGGGACACGGAAGAGTGGAGGAAGGATCGGGAGAGTCGTAAAACGGTGATTGAAGTGAAAAGGACAAGACAGGCGGGACGGGGGGGAGAGGAGTCCCAAAGAGGCGGAGAGAGGGGATGGATGAGGTGAGAGAGGAAGAGGGGCAGAAAGGAAGGTGAGGACAGAAAGAGGGAGAGGGGGATGTGGGAGAAAGCGGCCATAGGAGGAAACCATTCATCAGGCTGTCCGGCGATCCCGATAGGGGCATTAACGGACGGCCAAATGAGCCATAAGTTCGTCCCACATGTTCATCCATCTCAGTTATGAGGCCGGAGCTGCAGGTAAAGGCACGCTGGGGGGGGGGAAAAAAACGAGCTTACAGACGACGGCAGCTCTGAAACTGACGATTCTCAGCCACTCCGATTTTCCCATTCCTCCAAACTCCTTATTTGAATTGCCCTTTGGATAATTCAGCCTGATTTCTCTCCTTTTTATTTTGCCACCTTCTCATTTCACTCAAAAGACTCAGCGGCACTTCAAAAATAAAGCATCACTCTGATATATTTAATTTATTTTTAGAAGTCTTCACATCCCCTTTGGGTTTAATTGATACAAATACAAAGATATTTAGGTCAAACTCGACCCATTAAGAGCTTCCAGCTCCTGTGCGATCTTACAGATGAGTAAATCTCTCTTTGATCCTCACCTTCTTCCTTTACTCTGTTCTTGTAGGACAAACAGAGCCTCTGAGAGGTGTGAAATATCCCTGTCAGATGCCGTTTTGCATGGAGCGCCTGAGTGAAACGGGGGCGAGACGCCACCTCTGAAAAGCATCAGGTGGACGGTCTCCAGAGGTCTGATCCGGTCCTGTAGGAGGTCAGAGCTCTGGAGGAGGGCCTGGACACAACAGCTGGGCATCGCACGCTTCTGAGCCCGTCCACCAAAAGTTTACACTCTTATCGTAACGTTTTGGAGAACTGCGGAGGTCCGGTCCGGCCGCGGGAGGACCAGTGAGCTCTCTTTAGGTTCGGTCAGAGGGAAATCCTCTCGGGGCCTCAGGAGGTCCCCTTTTGATTAGACTTTCAGTCCGCGTCCCGCTGATCTACATAAACAGCCACGGGGTTATGTGCTCAACTTCCAGGTGGAGACGGTCTCAGCTTTGGCTGCTTTCTGACCTCTACCCAACCAGCCGCTTCCGTCTTTTTGGCTTTCTTTGAAATCGAGATCAGTTTTTATCGACGAACACCGTTTTTTTTTTGTGATTCACTGAATTTTTTTTAAGAACAAATTCCCAAGCTGGGAAACAGGAGCATTACAAAGTCAGTGATCAATACCCACCCACCCCACCTCAAACTTAGATACAAATCACATGACCCGTTAGGTCATAAATGAAATAAAAAGGACAAAGCATGAAGCATCTCATTGTGCGTGACTCCCCAACAAGTCTGTAACTCCCTTTGTAGTTCTTTCCCACATTTGTGTTGTTGAGACTGAATCTCATGAATCATGGATCCTTGCAGTAGACAGTTCCATCATTATAACATCTTGAAAGCATAACATAATTAGTTTTTTTGCTGCCGTTAGGCGTGCAATACTTTTGTCTATACATTCAAACTGTGAGTCGTCATGCAGAGCTTTTTTAAATTAGCTTTTTAGCGAAGCTTTACGTGATTTTAAGAAGCTGCAGACCCAAAAACAGCCGAACGGTGCTCAGGTGTTGTGCTGTATGAGGAGAATCGCGTGGTTTTGCGTCCTCACCGGGTGGTTTGAATACAGAAAGATCTGAGCTCCTGGTGAGGCTCTCTGAGGGCTCACTCACCAATACCCGAATCGGGTGCCTGACCCCGGCGCTGTCGGTTTGACATGACCACAGGTTGGGTCAACACCGGCCGTCTAACAGCTCGGCTGAGCCTCTCGTGAGGGAAACATCAGAAAAAGTTACGGGGCAGTGTCCCCAGCCTCCTCTGCCCAGCCAGAGGTTTCTGGGCTCACAGAACCGTTCCCTATGGGTCAACGGGAGCTGGACGCCAGTTTTATAATCACGTATGATGGCAAATCAGATCAATTCCAATTCATTTAGCAGGTTTGCCCCTATTCCACGTGGAGACATCCTCAGTTTGATGTCATGGTTTATTATTCAATTTACTGAACACAATACCAAAAAAATGATCAAAATAGTTATATAAGTTTAAGATATACTCATTGAATTTTACAATGTGGGTAAGAAGAGAGAAGATACACTTTCAAGGAGAGAAAATACACAAGTGAAGCTCATTCTCTTCACTTTGGGTAGATGTTTTGTCTCTCCCCCCCCAAAAAAAACAGACATACCTGCTTTCCTGAGTTTCCTGTTCCTGAACACGGACACGATGACCAGCAGGTTCCCGATAACATCCACCACGATGGTCGTGATGAGCACCCCGGCCAGCAGCGTGAGCACCCAGGGGAAGGAGTGCTGCTGCTGGCCGGGGGCCCCCTCCTCCCCGGCCGGGGTGGAGTTCCGGGGCTCCAGGGTCCCCTCCACCAGGGTGGGCTCATGGTCCTCCAGGGACATCAGTTGCGGGAGGTGTCTGGGGTCGACGAGTCGCATTGGCCCGTTCAGCATAACGCACGAGGGGGTTCGGAGTCGGGCGCGCGCCTCGAGCCGTGCGCGGGGGCTGTGCGTAACGCCACCGGAGGGAAAGGGGGTCCTCTAAGCCCCCGGGTCTGCGGAGGGGTGCCCGGCTAACACCTGGTCGGGTTCGGGGTGGTTGGCTCTCTGCGCGCTCCCGCCGCGCGCCCGGGACGCGCCGCGCATCGCGGATCCGACTCCGCGCACGGCAGCCTGTCAACCATTCCCCATCCCAGCTGGAAGAACAAGTGTCGGAACCTGCTCTTGCCCCCCCCCCCGCCGGCTCTTGCGTCCTTTGGCGCAGCTGGAGCGACGTTTCCACCCCGGTGTCTGGCTCACAGACGTTCTCCGGTAGTCATGACCCGCGTTTCGTCCCCTCCCGGGTGCCGTTCACCCCGTCAGCCCGCTGGCAGCCTGAGTCTGGCGCGGGGGAGGCAGCTGTGGGCAGCCCGGTGTGAGCTGAGGAGCTTTACGCGCCTTAAAGCGCCAACCGGAGACCCGCTCCCTCTATCTCTCCCTCTCTCTCTCTTTTACTCTACCCTGCTGGCGTGCTCGCACGTGCTCCTCTGACACTCGATCTTCCCCACCTCCGTTTTTTCATCCCTATCATCCCTCCTCTGCTTGGCTCTCCTCTCCGTTAACTTGAATGAAAATAGCGAGGAAGCACTCGGTGTTTATTCCGAGGACAGAGTCTCTCTCAGCAGGAAAGGGATCAGGTATTTCACATCTGCTCGTCCACGACTGCCTCAGAAGCACTGAGAATATTTAGTGTGAAGATCTGAAATGCTGATCTGCTCGTTTCGATGTCATCCAGCCCTGTTTTGAGACATCTTCCGTTTTTGTTTTTAACTTTGGAGAAAGGAAATCTCTTTTACAACCAGATATTGGCCAAAGCTGTTATATAAACACTATATGAAACACTGGATACACAAAGACAACAATGAAGCAGAGAAACAGGAGTTCATTCATAATGACTCTCATGGAGAATCATAGACAAGTTAATTTAATTATTTTGGGGATTGTGCCGACTCTGGCTGCCAGAGGGAAAATGGGAGGGGGGGGGTAAGGTCACCAGGAGAGAAGGATTGTGATGTCAAACCAAACAACGGCAGCCCGGGAATTTTACACAGTGGAAAAACAAGAGCGGTTCCACCCACCGTTCAGATTTGTTTTGTAACAACACGGCGGCTCGCAGCATGCAGTGCATGTGTTCATCATTTTATAAAAAGATCTGAAAGAGAAAGAGAAAGGGGAGGACACCAATCAGGGTTGAGAATTACGGATCGGGTGAGTCAAAGCGGCCCAGAAGACGAACGTCCTCGGACAACGTTTGAATTTCTGGGCTTCACTGGAAACAGGTCGTTTCCGTAACTGAAACAGCTCACAGAGGCTCTGAGCGGAGGTTCAGCCATCTGGAACGCATCCAGTAGTTTTTGTGCTTGTGCACAAATCTGGAAAACTAAAAGTGTATTTTTTTTTTTACGATATGGAGCATTTAATATCCTCAAAAAGAAAACGTTTGTGTGCAGATGACGTGGCCAAAAACGCAGAAAAGAAGCAGGTCTCACGGGGTTCTTATGGGTTTCTGGCGATGTTTTCGTTAATTTTTAAGGAGAAATATGGAGATTTGCAGTAACTTTGAAGCGCTGCAGAGCGCTCTGAGGAGGAGCGCACGTCTCCAGCAGACAGTGGAGGTGATCCTGTGTCTCTCCTCTTTCTCCATCACGTCCCTCCGGCTCCTCCCTCTCCTCTCTGGCATGTCCTCTTGGATCCAAACATCCCGTGAGCGGGGCATCAAACCCCCTCCAAGGGCAAACAGGGGCCTTCAGTTTCCCACCTTCAATGCACTTTTCCCAAGACAGAGACCAGGGTTTCGTTGGATAGCAAAAGACAACTTCTTTTTTGCTGTTTCTGGAGCTTAGCGCTCATAAGTGAATACATTAATGTGTGAATTCACGAAAAAACCCTGCAGTGGAACTCATCCCAATTGTATTAATCTTTAAAGCGGTCTTTCTTTTTGTCCACGGCGAGCTGGCGGGGAAATATATACAGTCATCACTCAACAGAAACCAGAAGGTGGTGTTTTCATCTACTTCCATCGTGCCAGAAAGTGGCCGAGATGCTGAAACTCTGATGAGATTGGAACCGTAGCGTCAGGCTGTATTTTCCTTTTTCATACTGAGTGTGAGCCAGCATTAAAGTCCGCTCCCGCAAATTCCAGGATGCGGCTGACAGCTGGAAAGAGCCGGAGTGGCCGCTCGCAGTCGGCTGTCAGCTGCTGTTAGCTTCTGAGCTGACAGGGTTATCATTTTCAAACATACCTGTTATGCAAAGCTTTCACTTTTACTGATAAAACACACG